CATACTGTACCTATACCAACACACTGTACTTATACCACCATACTGTACCTATACCAACATAATGTACCTATACCACCATAATGTACCTATATCACCATACTATACCTATACCAACATACTATACCTATACCACCATACTATACCTATACCAACATAGCGTATCTATACCACCATAATGTACCTATACCACCATATTTTATCTACCACCATACTGTACCTATATCAACTTACTGTACTTATACCATCATACTGTACCTATACCACCATAATGTACCTATACCACCATACTGTACCTATACCACCATACTGTACCTATACCACCATAATGTACCTATACCACCATAATGTACCTATACCACCATACTGTACCTATACAACCACAATGTATCTATACCACCATACTGTACCTATACCGCCATAATGTAAAAAACAACTTAAGTACCGCATAAATCTCAACACCTTGATGTCAAATGCAAATGTCTCATGTTTTAATTGTGCTTGCTCGTAGAGTTTTTTTTGTCTTAAATCGTGTCCTGACAAGATGTGAAAGATCTTTTTTGTAATACCACTATCTACCCTCATGTTTCTCTCCCTTTTCCTATCTAAGATTATTATCTGATAAGGATAAAAAGGCCGCGCTTTCTACAGTTGCAGCTTCGTGCAATCCGCCCATCTTTCGGACAACTGTACATACATATTCGCGTTGTACCTTGGTGCAATTCCAATGAAGTTTATTCTGATTCTGATAAGGTACATTATATATCCATCAACAAACCATTATCCAGAAGTCAGGATAATTGTCAGGGCCTTCCAGGTCTCTCTTGTGGGGTGGGTCCTGTGTATATTTGACCTTGATTTGTGACCTTGACCTTGAAGCTGGGGTGATGCAAAGTGTACATGACGGTCCGTCTAATGATGATGCATGTGTGTATGAAGTTCTGTTATCTTGAGCGGCTCAAAAGTTATGAGTGGGACAAGAGAGTTTTCATACGCAAAGACAAATGGACACTATAGTGCAGGGGTGCCCAACCTTTTTTGAACCAAGAGCTACTTTTGAAGTCGGCAATTTGCCGAGAGCTACTCGTCCAGTCTCATTATCAACAAACATAATTTTTCATCAATCCCTACTCCTCACTTCTTTAAAGTAAATAAAACAGAACGTGATGTGTCTATAGGAGACAACTTTTTATGCAAGCTGTATAAAATAAATGTGTCTCTACCTTAGTGGGACTTCTGACACTGAGAGGAGGAGGCCAGGGTCTCATAAGATGGGCAGTATGAGGTGGTTGCGAGGCGCAGGCAGGTCTCCAGATGATCATCATTCATTGTGGATCTGTTTTTGGACTTGATGATTTTCATGTGTGAAAAAGCAGACTCGCACAGGTAGGTAGATCCAAAAAGTGCTGTTAAGTTCAAAGCACATCTTCGGATGTTAGGATACTTTTCTTCTGACAGCAGACTCCAGAACTCTCCATCCACGCCAGGTGATGCTCTGGATTTGATCCCAATGTCATTTTGCAGACTCAACACCTCATTTTCAACACCAGAGCTGTCCAGCTGAAACACGGACACCAATTTGGACACAATGTCATCCACATCAACATTTCCAAAAGGATAACACATGTAGCTGGTAACAGGCTCGATGGAGGAAAAGTCAGTAAATCGTCTCTCAAATTCTGCTGAGATGCTCTGAACCTGCTTAGAATAGTGTGCACTGTCCAGTTGTGGGACCTCTTTCCCTTGGCGCTGTAGCTCTGCCTCCATGTGTGGGAAGTTTCGCAGGTCCCTGCGTTGCAGCTGACTTGTGAGCAGTTGCAGCCTGCTTTTGAAGGTGCTCACAGAACAGATCATGTGGATTATGTTTTTGTCCTTTCCCTGAAGCTCCAAATTCAGTTCATTGAGCAGGCTGGTGAGATCTGTGAGGAAGGCTAAATCCAAAAGCCACTGGGTGTCCTCTAGTTTTGAATGTTCACCATGATCTGACAGCTTCAGAAAATCCCTGATCTCAGGCAACAGCTCACTGAATCTGTCCAGAAATTTACCTCTGCTTAGCCACCTGACGTCCATGTGCAGCAGCAGGTCTGTGTGGTCTGCTCCTGCCTCCTCCAAGTGAGCCCGGAACAACCTCCTCTGCAGACTCCTGGCCCTTATAGAGCACACAGTTTTCATGGAAACATCCATCACTTCCTTCATGTTTAAAATCTTCCCACACAGGGCCTGTTGGTGGATGATGCAGTGATAGTGCAAAATGTCTGGGAAAGCATCATTCTGCTTGCAGAGTGCAACAAATCCACTGGTGTGACCAGTCATTGCTGGAGCGCCATCAGTTGTTATAGAAATTAGTTTAAAGAGGGGCAAGTTGCTTTTATTAACAAACTCCATAAACGCATTAAAAATATCTTCTCCTCTTGTATGTCCCTTCAAAGGCAAGATGGTGAGCAGCTCCTCTTTTGCACTCATGTCTGCAAAGGCCATTCTGATAAAAACACACAGCTGGGCTACATCCACCATGTCTGTCGACTCATCAAACTGAAGAGAGAAACACTCGCATTGTTCCACGTCCTTTTTTAGCTGCTCCTCCACATCCACAGCCATTCCCTCACATCGCCGTGTCACTGTTTGTCTGGACAACTGCACGTCTTTAATAGCAGCTACGATCTCACTTTTATTTTTAAAATCATGAAAAAGCGCATCTGCAGCCTCAATAAACGCTTCTTTCATAACTTGTCCATCGCTGAAAGACTTCTTATGTTGAGCCAGGATGCGGCTAACACGGTAGGAAGCTATCGTAGCAGCTTTACCTTTTGTGCTGGGCCGAGTGAAGACTGATTGCTGGGCTGCAAGCTTGTTTTTTAGCTCCCGCACTTTCTGAGTCCGTAAAGAACTTTTAAGAGGGAAATCTGTCTCAAACCGTTTGTGCATCGTCTTGAAATGCCGCTCCAAGTTACACTTTTTGGGTAAGGCAACGCTCGAATTACAGATGAGGCAAATGGACTTCGAATTAGAATAAACAAAAAAATACTCCTCCTCCCACTCTGTGTGAAAATAATAAGTTTTCGTTTGCTTGTTCGCTAGTTTTCCATCCATGTTTTCTGCGCACCGACATTACTCCACTACTGAGACTAAAGTCTCGTGAGAGCACTGTGTCACCGCACCCAAAACTCGCGAGACTATGTCTGTGAGAATACAAGTCAAGGTTTCGCCCGCGAGCGACTGGTTGGGCACACCTGCTATAGTGTAATGTGTCCCACCTTTGACAGGCGTATAAAAGCTCATT